AAAGTTTATACTGAAAAAAGTGTCTATGCTTCATTTATTTATTTACAAAGACGGGTGCCACATGTGGAGCAGGTTCTGCTTACCCTTCCGGAGCACCTGTGATCACCCCCGGTTTTTGGTGGAGCTCGTGTTACTCAGTCTTTAGTTTTCTATGTTGTGTTTTGTGTACTGTTGTTTGTCTTTTGGTCTTCTCTTTTTTTTTGTCATGGCGCTGTCAGTTTATTTTCGACTTATGAGTTTGAATGTCCCTTTGTTTACTTATGAAAGAGAGGCGAAAGATACCAAAGGGACAATCAAGCCTCTCTTTTACAAGTAAACAAACGACATATCCCAATCTTCATCGAAAAAATCAGAAATTATATATGCCAACCATCCTTTAAAGGTCCAATCTTCTCCTGTGTCATCTTTCAAGACATGGGAAATCAGATGTATAAACTCTACACCCACCAATACATGTTATGAATGGTAATGCAATCATAAATAAAATTTCAAATAAATCCAGTTAGATGAACTGTCAGTGCAACTGAATGACCATACCCATTGCTGTCCAAGATTATAGTATGTTGCACTCCGTAAAACCTGGAAAGGGAAGGGTCAACAGACAGGGTAGAATTTCCAAAACTATAGAAGAACAGTGGGACAAAAGAAAGCCTACAGAAAAAGAAAACAAACTAATAGGGAAATACAAGAGAGCACCAAACCAGGTGAAACTGGACACGCTTGAACAAGATGGTAAATTGAAGAAGAAGGTAGTAAGAAAATAATACAAAACAAGTCAAAAATCATGACACACGGCGGGCGGATAAACTGAAGAAGATAATAATGTGAAAATGAAGACAGTAAAAATACTATAAAACAAGATAACAAGAAAAAAAAACATATAACATCTGACGAATTAGAACAAGAAGTGACTAGAGATGAAGAATTATTTCATTCTGATGCTGTTTTTGCGTTTTCGACAATTGACTTCACGCAAAATAAATATCACAAGAAATTAATAGAAAAAGAGTAAAGGACTTCGAAGATCTTTACTATCTTGAATTAATAAAAGATTCCAACAAAGGACTATACAACCTTGGTAATACGTGTTGGTTTAATTCAGTGGTACAAATGTTTGCACACACAAGATTAATGGGGGGCTGAGATCAGTTCTAGATGTTTTTGACAAGGTTGGTAAAGGTAAAGAAGTACCGGCCCCTTGCAGACTTCCTCGACTTCTCTTAAATTTAATACATTTGGTTTTTGATTCGACTCGACAGAATGATGTCCAAGGATGTGTGACAACTGTACAACGGCAATGCACGGATCTATGTGGAGTAAAGCTTTTCATTGCGGTATGTTTAACTATTAAGAAACTGTTTGGAGAGTAACTTGAAGAAATGATAGTATAAGAAATGCAGATATTATAAGCATATAAACTCATCATAGATACCAGGATTAATCATTTGTACGCCAGACGCGCGTTTTTTCTACAAAAAAAACTCATTAGTTAAGCTCGAATCAAAAAAGCTAAAACGGGACAAATAAAGTACGAAGTTGTAGATCATATTATTAAATAATACAAAGTTAAGCCAATAAGACAGTTTTCAACAGAGACTAAAGACGAGGATGTTAACAACTATAAGCCACCTTACGACCTAAAACACTGAAGCAAACCAATACCGTATACATGGTATAGGAAACTTTCAAAGGTTCCGGCAGGACCACATTTGAAACTTTTATAAAAGAAAAAAAAAGAACTGATTTTTGCTAAAGCAGTAAACGAAAAACTGAATATGGCATAAAGCAGTGAACAAAAACGACAACTTAAGTATAGGCATGAGTCACTTACCCTGTCGACGAACCAGTCTCGCACGTTTCGGATTTCTTTTGATTTCTGCAGTTTTTATTTTAACCTTCATGTGTATTTTTTAAAGAATTTATAAGATTTGAACTTCGGTAAACTACTGTTTCCTCGATTACCTTGATATGGAATGGCACATAAAGCAAGTGGTGGGGTTAAAACATATGTGTGTGTGCGTACAAGCAAACCCTAACCTGGAACGGTGGTGTAAAAGCATCACATTAGACCAACATGTGAACATCAGTTGAAAAGGTGCTAAACAAAAAAAAGTGAATTTAAATATTACGGTTTTTAAGGCCAAACCTTTTCTACGTTTTTTTCCTTGTATTTCTGATAATTGAGTGTGATTCTATAAAATAAAATTAATGCAATGTTAAATTTTCACATTTTAAACTTTATTGTTCTGTCAGTTTGTGAAAAAAGGTTTGAACTTAACAGTATGGGTATGGAATCGGTAAATCATATAAATAAGCTTTTTATATTGAAGCACATGTCTTTGGTTTTATATACGTATCAATGTGATGTATTTACATTTATAGGTTATTTTACCAGAGCTTTTTTTTTTAAATATTTTGTTGCAATAATGAACACCAAATTCTCGACATGACAAAATCACAAGGTTCTTGACTAGATAAAAACATACATTTAAATGGAGGAACTAGTTTCTTAAATTAGACGTTTAGATTGTGAGAAATCTCAACTCTAATCCTTTAAATTCAACCATTTGATTAACAAAATGTACATAAAACATCGTACCAAAATAATCAGTTCGGGAAAGCACTTATCACTCTTTAACTGCAAAAAAGATAAAAGAAAAACAATAGCATGCTAAAAATGATATTCAATGCCGTATCACAGATGGACGCAACTATAAAATGCGATCTCAAAGTACAATATGTAATTACCATTCCACTGTAAATGGTGTGTTGAGAAATAAAGATATATATATACGTTTTGTTAAAATATACTTTTTCACTTTTTTTTGTCTTTTGGAAAATGTTTGTACTGTCCTCTACCAAGAAATTTGTTTTGCATGCACACGTATAAAAATTGCGGTTTTTATCCAACGCAATCATAGGTTTGAACGTTGTTTTCAATTTAGACTTGTTTATATTTTTTCGTTTGGACTTGTATTATATTTGCCTTCGGGTTTATATGATCCGTTCATCCTATATCGACTCTTCAAAATTCAAGCGTCTATCCTAAATTGAGGTAAATTATATGGCCTTCCAAATACCGTTTCGATTCCTAACATCACCGAAGAGACATTGATTGTCGAAATCCGGATATGGTGTACTAATTTTTGCACCTTTTGTTTGCGGTATACCATCCTTTCCGCAAGTTTATTGTTTTCTGTTTGGTATTAAATTAATAGTTAAGATCCATTTTGATACATCTGGTGATCCGTTTATTTGGCAATCGCCAATGGCAGTCAGCAGGGTTTAAGAACATATCCGTTGTTCGACCTGCTAGTCAAATGCGTTTTGTTAAAATATACTTTTTCACTTTTTTGGTCTTTTGGAAAATGTTATTGCCGTATTTAGACCCCTCTACCAAGCAATTTGTTATGCATGCACACGTATAAAAATTGCGGTTTTTATCCAACGCAATCATACTAGGTTTGAACGTTGTTTTCAATTTAGACTTGTTTATAATTTTTCGTTTGGGCTTGTATTATATTTGCCTTCGGGTTTATACGATCCGTTCATCCTATTTCGACTCTTCAAAATTCAAGAGTCTATCCTAAATTGAGGTAAATTATATGGCCTTCCAAATACCGTTTCGATTCCTAACATCACTGAAGAGACATTAATTGTCGAAATCCGGATATGGTGTACTAATTTTTGCACCTTTTGTTTGCGGTATACCATCTTTTCCGCAAGTTTATTGTTTTCTGTTTGGTATTAAATTAATAGTTAAGATCCATTTTGATACATCTGGTGATCCGTTTATTTGGCAATCGCCAATGGCAGTCAGCAGGGTTTAAGAACATCCGTTGTTCGACCTGCTAGTCAAATGCGTTTTGTTAAAATATACTTTGTTACTTTTTTGGTCTTTTGGAAATTGTTGTTTGTGCTGTATTTAGACCCCTCTACCAAGAAATTTGTTTTACATGCACACGTATACAAATCTAAATTGAAAACAACGTTCAAACCTTTGATTGCGTTGGATAAAAACCGCAATTTTTGACGGTGTCAACGGCGGCTGTGGATCTCGGATATCCTGCGAAACGTACGTTATTGGGCGATCGTTAATAACGCTTTCAATCTCCGCAAGAACTGTTCGTAACATATCCGCGTTAACTTGGGATCTTCCCAGAACTTTTTTCAGTGTTGTCTTTGTTATTCCAATCAGTCTCTCCCACCATCCACCATACCACGGTGCTGCTCTTGGGATGAATTTCCAGTTGATTTGTATGTTCAGCTCTCAAGGAATTTGGCATGCCGCTGAAACAAAAGTGGGGGCGTTATCCGAATACACTGTACTAGGGTGTCCTTTCCTACGAAGCGTCTAAATGCTAACATGAAAGCGTTAAGTGTTATTAGATATAAGAAGATGTGGTATGAGTGCCAATGAGACAACTCTCCATCCAAGTAAAAATTTATAAAAGTAAACCATTATAGGTCACAGTACGGTCTTCAACACGGAGCCTTGGCTCACACCGAACAGTAAGCGATAAAGGGCCCCAAAAAATTACTAAGTGTAAAACCATTCAAACGGGAAAACCAACGGTCTAATCTATATATAAAAACGAGAAACGAGAAACACTTATGAACCACATCAACAAACGACAACTACTGAACATCAGATTCCTGACTTAGGACAGGTGCAAACAAATGCAGCGGGTTTAAACGTTTTAATGGTACCAAACCTTCACCCTTTTTCTGAAACAATAGTGTAACATCACAACATAGAAAGACACACTATAAAATATCAACTGAAATAGCTTAACTCAATCAAAGGACATATTAACACCATTGAACATACACTGAACAAATAAATTTGACCTATGACACAATGTAAATACAAAATAAATAAACTAAGGGAAGAATTAAAAAAAGTAACATGTTATATCGGTAAGAAATGTTAAACAATTAAAGAAAAACAATATGCTCGAACAAAAATATCAGCCATTTGCAATAACTTTAAACACAGGTAAATGAAAATAATTTTATTGTTAGGTATACGTGTACAGTACCAATAGAGAAAGGAAATATTTTTACAAAATAAATAATATTGATGTTCATAGTACGAAGTGAAAATTTATAGTTATACCAAACACTTATCAAAGCTGGTATATAGACCAGATATAACCCTGAATAACATTAAATAACAAAAAAGCAATACAATTAGTATCAACAGGTCAAATAAAAAAAGAAAGTACGATTTGAGAGTACTCGCAGTTACTGACAGCTAGTTAAAAGCCAAAACAATTAAAAATAAAAAATCATGCATCAGAGACTAAAATCAACTAAAACATATCCTAGGGATTTAGTATTTTAACGTCGTGGACAGTCAAAGAAGACATGACTAGTGCAATGCCAAAAATAAATGTATCGACAGACAGTAGGATAGTTAGGAGTTTAACCTCTGTATAGATCTAAACGAACGTGGGTGTATCTTTATATTATATGCTTGAAAAAAATACAAATTTAGTTGTTTTAATTTGCTGATGACAAAATCGATATTAGTGCCAATGTAAACTATATTCAAAGATCTATTTACAGCATTGGTAAGATAACCTTTACTAATAAGTTTGTTTAAAGGTTCGATGAGTTTACACGGATCACATAGTGATTTCCGCGCTTTAAGTACAATATTACCGTAAAATTTAGGATGTGAAATACCGTTTTTAATCAGTTTTCTACAAGTACAGCCAAATTTACTAATCAAAACTTTGTATCTATGAAAGAGCTTAGCAAAAGTTTTACGTAATTTATGGTAACGAAATCCTTGATTTAATAACTTACTAGTGATGCATTGATTACGTTCGTTAAAATCTATGACATCACTACACACACGGGCATAACGAACGAGTTGGGATATATAAACACCGTATGATGGAGCCAAAGGAACATCGCCGTCTAAAAAAGGAAAATTAACAATAGGGAATGAAAAATCGTCTCTTTTGTCGTAAATTTTCGTATGGAGTTTTCCTTTAGAGAAAGAAATGTCCAAATCCAAAAAAGGACAACTACTGCTGTTTATGTTAGATTTAGTTAAAGTAAGTTCTATTGGGTAAATTTCGGTAGTATATTTAGAGAACTCTGGATTATTTAACGAAAAAATATCATCTAGATAACGGAAGGTAATGTTGAATGTATCAACCAAATGTAACAATGACGTGTCTTTACTGAGTTTGGTCATAAACTGAGATTCATAGCAATACAGGAATAAATCTGCTATTAAAGGGGCGCAGTTAGTGCTCATAGGAATACCTACTACTTGTCGATACACTCTATCGCCGAAACGTACATATATGTTGTCCAGGAGAAAATTTAAAGCTTCAATCATATCTTCACATTTCCAGTAAGTGTATCTAGCATACTTTCCTTTTTCGTTACAGAAAAAGGCTTTAAAAGAGTTACAGCAAATAAATTTGTAATGAGATTTTTCAAAAGACCATTTAATCAAATATGAAAACTTTTTCTTGATAAGATTGTGTGGAAGTGTAGTATAGAGAGTAGAAAAATCATAACTGTCAACAGAATTAAAAGGACCATCAAAAGCATGTATTTTATCTAAACCCTCTAAAGAATTTTTAACACTCCAAAAATAATTAATACCATTATTTTCATAAGCTTTATTACAAAAGTTAATAACAAGTTCTTTGATAGTAGTAAGGGAGGTAGTTAGAAGCACTGATATATTAGTAGTAGAACACTTACTAGATGCGGAGATGAAACGGAATTTAAATGGTTTTTTGTGCAATTTAGGTAACCAGTACATAGTAGGGACTTTCAAATGTTCGGAAGAGGCTGGAACGAGTTCTAAATGTACAGCTCGAACACATGCATATGTAAATAAACAAATGTACATCTTTTTCAAAATTCCGGTTTCTTTAACATAAAGCGGTCCTGCAAAATCCACACCTGTTGTTGTAAATGGAATCATATCCGTCACTCTATCTTTATAGGACGTGGGGGTAAATCTGGCTCCATAAACGATTTTCCCATGACTTTACGACATTGTATGCATTTCTGTATTATATGGTTCACGCACTGACGAATAGACGGTATCCAATACGACTGTCGGATTTGGGTGACTGTTTGTCCAGATCCTGAATGTAACATTTTCAAGTGTGCATCCAGTATAATAAGATCAGTAAATGTATGTTTCTTTGGCAAAAGTATTGGAAATTTTGTACAGCTACCCAACGAGGAATTATGTATGCGCCCACCGCATCTTATATACTTTCATCGTCAATAAATAGGCGTAATTGTTTCAATAAAGCCAATTCTTTGCTTCCTAAATTACTCGAAATTTTCTCCTTTTCTCCCATAAATCGTTCGTTTTGTACGTCCTTAATCCATAGATGTATTGCAAATTGAATTTCTTCGTTAGTAATTCTTTCCTGTGTGTGTGTATATTTTCTTCTAAGTTGGTATGCTCTGCTGTCTCTGCATTTTCTCACAAATTTCGCAAACTCCCAATAATTTTTTCAATGAAGAAAACCTAGATAAGTCAATAATTTTTGAAATTCCGGGCATCGATGTAGAACCAAATGTCTCTGTGTTATCGTTGTCACATGTCGTCGTCAAAAGAGTTGTTTCCTGTTCCGGCTGTTGAGTCCATGTAGGCCAACGATTTTCATCTGAGATCCAAGATGGACCTTGCATCCATAATGTTGAGGTACGGAAAATTTGACTGGTTTCTTGCGTATGTTTGTATGGGGTGAGCAATCTTTGGAACGATAAGTACATTAATTGGTATTAATTCTGTAGTCTGAGCTCGTAAATAAACAGTAGCCACTTGAAGATGTCTTACTTTCGTATTTGATTCACCAAATCCCGAGACTGTTATTACTTCATTTTTTACGGGTTTCAAGTAATTGAAAAGATACTTGGTAATAAAACTGCGCTGTGCACCTTCGTCGAATAGGATGTTTGCTTGACTAAAATGGTTTTCGTCGGACGAGACTGTAACTATTGTGGTTTTCAAAAGTACTTGAGCTCTTACTGATGTCGCTAATGAGTGCATGCTTGCTACTGTGATTGCTGTCTGGTTTTCCTGTTTTACAATTATCCGTTTCTGTTTTTGCTTTGTCTTGCGAATGCCGCTCATTTGTGTTGCAAATACTCGTGTGGTGTCGTTTTCCGCGATTTTTACAGGTTTTTTTTTCGATTTGCAGTGTGCAATTCTATGACTTCCCAAACAATTAAAACATAACTGTTTCTCCTTAATTGTGCGCTTTCTGTCATCAATATTTTTCACTTTCATGCATGCAGTTGGAGCGTGAATGTCGTTACAATATATACAGGGTTTGCTGGTTAAATTTCTGTTATTTGAATTGTATAGTTTCGTTTTGTACTCGCTATAAATGCCGATGTAGGTGTATATTCTGATTCTAATTCGTAACAATTTACTGACTGACCTGTTTCTTGGATTGTAATTTCATGCTGAATTGCGTCTCGTAGCAACTGTAAATTCCATCTGTCATTTCCATGAATGCGTACCATATTTTGTCGGATGTTTCCGGGAATTTTATTTAAGATAATTGGTACTAGAAGGCTCCCGTACGATTCATGTGTCTGTCCCATTCCCTCAAGACCTCGAATATAATTCTCCATACTGTCGTAAAAGTTCTCTAATATTTGCGGATGGACTGGGTAGACTAATAAGGCTTTGCATAAAAGCATTCACAATTTTGTGGGGTTGACCAAATCTCTGTTTCAATACATGTAGGGCTTGAGCGTAATTTGTGTTTGTAATTTGTAATCCTGAGATGCACTGGCTTGCTTCTCCGTACAATTGAGACTTTAAATAGTTAAACTTCTGTACGTCGTTTTAGGACAAATTTTCATGTACTGCTGCTCAAAAGGAATCCAAAAATGGCTGCCATTCCAATATATTTCCTCCGACCGTGGGTAGGGAAAGCTTTGGTAATTTATGGTACATACTGGAGTTTGAAAATGAAGATGCTGAATGATTTGCTGGCGTGAAACTTAATTGAGTCGGATTTGTTTGGTTATTTGAAAGTGTAAATTCTGTGGCATGCGGGTTTAATTGTGGTTGTTTCATAGATGTTGTGCACGGTTATCTGCTTCCCGGATTACTTTTGCTAAATTTGTTAAAGTAATTTGGATATCAAATTCATACCTGTCGGCTTCTTCTATCTCTTCTTGAATATCCTCTTCCGAAATTTCTTCCACAATTTTATCGTTGAGTTCCGAAATATCTGTTTCCTTCTTCCGTATCATTTCTCTGATTGACATAAGTTCATTCACATTGTATTCCTGTAATAACTCCTCGAAATTTCCGCTCACTCGCTTTATTAATTTCGTGACTGCACCACGATGTCCAGCTCGAATAGCTTTGAGTTTAGAACTCGTCGTTCTTTTTGTCACGGCACCAATATGACTTATATTCAGTCTAAAGAAATAATGAAGATCGAAATTTTTATCTAACTTGATTACATATATCACAAATATCGTCGCTAAGTAGCGACGTCGAATATACTGTTACGTAATTACCGCGCTAAACGACGTTAAGATGTTTACCAATTATTTAAGGAATGACTGTAATATTTTTTCTGTCTATGAAGAAATAACATAAAAAATGTGGTGCACACTGAATAACTCGCGTAGCGGGTTATTTTAAAGTGTGCACCACATTTTTTTTGTTATTTCGAATAGACCGAAAAAATATTAGTCATTTCTTATAATTTAATTCTAAATTCCATTTTAAACCGGAGTAAACCATGAAAAAACGTTGATGAGGTCACGGTCACATGACAAAATTATGTCTATGAGCTGATAAACAAAACAACGTCAGCCAATCAGAAGACGCGTTACATCCAAAATTAAATTATAAGAAAATGTCTATAATAAAAGAAAGCAATTTACAACAACAGCTTTGTACTAAAACTGAGAATTCCTAAAGTTTTACAAAAGTTTTCCAATAATGTATGAATGTACATTTGTATACGCAAAGTTTATTGTACATATATTACAATCGATGTGTTACACAGTGGACACACCGTTCTCGTATTTAACCACTTTCGTATGCATATCTCGTGAAACACATGACCACAGCGGGTAACCTTTCCTTTCATCATTTCTTGCAAACAAATAATGCAGTTATCCCTGTTTAGCTGAGAATTTGATGCATCTTCTAATAAAGTAGTATATGCCAAGACCCTTTTCCTCTGTCGAATAGTATTTAATAAAACTTTAATACCGAAGAATACATTGACCAGCCACATTGATAGTAGTCGATTTAAATCAAACCATGTGTAGAATCCATAAAATACTGTCCAAACACCAACACAAGCTGTAGGCATTAAAATAACAAGTGTAATCGTGTATACAGTAATTCGTGTATAAAATATCACATCATCAAAATTTTCCCAGAATCCCTGGCGAATTTCATAAAATTTATACAGACAATATATAAAAAGCGAAGCAAATGATTTTATGAGACCACAAACGGAATAAGCTGTTGTAAGAAAAATGCCCAAATCTTTCATTGAATACTGGACTATAAGTCCGTATAGTATTGCCACATATCCAAAACAAAATGCAATATGCACGCCGATAACTCTAAGGGTGCTGAATCCTGATGCTTGCATTGCTACCACATCTGCACTCGCTAATTGTACGATAATTGAACAAAGGTCTGCCGAACAAACTGCAAGAAATACAATTCTGCTGGACAAAAAGATACCACGGTCAAACGGCTCCATGTCAAAGAAAATCATGTCTGTTGTACAGAAATATACGTTTACGATGCACCATATAAGTAACCCGAGCTCTATTTGTGTGGATTCATACATCCCTTTTACAATGAAATAGCAGAACTTTAACAGATGTTTACAAATTACAATTGAAATTGTAGAAAATGCTATAACGGAGATTACAGAACAACAACACATGCCGAGTGTGGTATAAAACACCAATTTAGTTTTGTTAATATCTTGATCAAGGTCAACCACGAGCCAGTTGTTAATTAGGCATACAGTAAATAAAATTATAAAATAAATAGAAAACTCCTTTCTATGGAATATGTTTATAATGTCATCCAATTCCAATCCTTCAAAACGTTGGAGGTATAGATTTATATGCATTTTCTCTTCAGGAGACAAGATTCCTCTTTCAAACACATGAAGGCATAGCAAAACAAGACACAAAATTGAGACTATAGTTAGGGCGTTGAAAATCCAATCAGGAGAAATTTGTAACACCGTTCCTCCCATGAAAAAGAGGTAAAAATGCACTGCGAACCGATATAATGTGTTAACCTCATTAAACCAATAATAAAACAGAATTAAACTAATTTGCACTAGTTTTAGAATGATTAAAATATGCACAGGGTATTCTGGTGTTTCTCCACACTTTATAAACAACGATGTTACAAGCCATGCTATAATTATATTTGAAGTTCCCAGCATAATCCTGAAGACGGTCAGCAAAATGCTGTATGGTAATCCAGTAACAACCAAAAGAGTTAAGAGTCCTGAAATTTAAACAAAAATAGCAAATTATTAGCAGTGGTTCTCAATAACCGCATCTTGTCGGAAGTAGCTATCTTCTCGTAGCATTTTTAAAATGTATTAACCACTACAAAAACTACTAAAAGTAATAGCAGCAACCTTAAAATGAATGAAGATAATCTCTTACCGCATTATATTGCAAAATTATGTTCCTAATCCATCCTTTTTTATTCTCAGTTGACAAACAATGTTCATCTCGCCATTTTACTTTAAAAAAATGTGCCGATTCTATATTTATAAGAATTCGTAAATAAATCGAATTTGACGGTAATATTTAAAGTATGTTTTGTAAAATATAAGCTGATCGATTGTTGGTTGCTTTACGACCAGTGGCAAATAGTTTATGTTTGTTAGGGACAAGAACAAATTAGCAATACTTAGTACATAGTGATGAAACAATTAGATAGGTTCTGTAATATGAGTCGACCGGGATGAAGGTCGGGGAAATTTGGACTTCCAATGAAAAATGAGAGTATTGGATAGGGAAAGAAATGTTTGCTTTGCAACAGTCCACCCACGGACCCCTCAAAGAGTTGTTGTAAGTGTTCTTATCGTACATAGTGATGACACAATTAGATAGGTTCTGTAATGTGAGTCGACTGGGGAGAAGGTCGGGGAAATTTGGACTACCAATGAAAAATGGCGCTCTCTTTACACAAGACACGTCTGACCTAACGTGGCTGCGTACTTATACATCCTGCACAGCCAAACGGTCTACTCACTTTGAAAACGGTTTTACCGACAGTTGGAGGCAGACCAAAGTGACCACATTCTACTTGTCAGTCATCCACGGGGACTAAAACAAAGGAAACACGAGCTATCCGACATTGAGACATGTACACTGCATCAAAAAAACCTGCGCATTTATTTCTATCCGTAAAACCAATTGCCTCTACTGGTTTTTAGTTAAGAAATGAATTAGAATTGACTGCTCGTACCATTATAAAAAAATGATTTAGTATATTTTAATCATCATTAATTTTGTTATAACAGAGAAGCGAAATATACCAAAAGGACCATCAAAAGTCCATAACAAACTATCAAAGGCATGGCAAAAGAAATGAAAAACGACGACAAGACAAACAGCAGTCCACAAAACACAAGATTTCAACAAAGACTGATCGAGCAAAACAAACCGCACAAAAAACTGGCGGGATATTATAAACTGTGTTTTCAAGAATGGAAACGTCAATAAAATTGAAAGTGTTTAAGGATGAATGAGGATTGGCTCGCTCATACAGTCCCAGTTATAACTACGAACTTTTATTTTGAAAGACATGCATCGAGTCGCCCGCTCCCACAACTGGCTATTAATTTCTGGTTATGCTTAAATACTTGGACAAGATAAATGTTGGTGATTGAATGAGGATTGGCTCGCTCACCACCGTTGCATTTACTAGTATTTGAAACGGTATTTATCAGCTTGGCCGCTTTCATGACAACTAATGTTTGTTGATGATCTTCAAGTCCTTGGGTATTTCACTTGTATAAATAAAAAGAATAATCGGTTTTTATAAAGGTTGGTAATTTAAACTATCACCATTATTAATGTTAGCTAGGCTATCTCTTTATATAGATCACTTTATGTAGAGAAGATAATTGGGTTTCGATTCGTCGTTTGTTTCTGTTAGCTTTAAATGAAAATAAGGTGATGTAGTATGATTGCCAATGTATTGATGGGGTCTTCGCAAAGGTATTTTTGCCAACTGCTAACACCTGGAACTTGTCAGGATAAGCTTGCATTTTATTAAAATTAAACCAGTCAATCAATTGTTTGGATTCATCTTCTAATGTAGTTTTTAGCTTAAAATCAGGACTACAGAACGATAATGTGTAATCATCTGCGAAGTTATACAATGAGCTCTGTTTAATAAAATTAAAAAAAAATATCTTTCATAAAAATTTTAAACAAAAGAGGTCCAAGAATAAAACCCTGTGGCACACCTTCCTGGATCTCAACCCAACTACTTAGTATGTTGCCAACTTTTATTTGTTGTTTTCTATTGGATAACTATGAAATTAAAAGAGATACCGAATGAGAAGAAACACCATAAAATGACTATTTGCCAAGTAAAATTTAATGAGGTAAGCAATCAAAAGCTTTGGACCGGTTCATTAAAACTGCTACTATGCAATCTATTTCTTTACGTTCCGTTATGTCATTTGGGGGTTTCCCTTACTTGGTATTATTCCCCGCTAAATATTTTTGCACTTGCGGTTGAGGGTATATAAGGAATTTGTATAAGTCTGTTCGATTAATGCGAAGTTTGTTGATAATGATACATATATATGATCTTTATTGTTTTTGTTGATTTGTTTAATTATATAAAATTTATGCGATCTTTGAAACGAACGCACAACCCATTTTCTTGTTTATTGTTTATTTTAGTTAGATCATAAATATTTTTTTAGTGCGAATGAAATAAGGTAGAAAATAAATGCTTTTTATCGAGGGCCTCTCTTCATTCCTCTTAAAGTCTATTAAGTAGTGTGGTCTGACATCCATGGCCTCGTCTTAACCCATAAAAATATGGATTAAACATTGGTCGAAAAAATCTGACAGTTGAGTTTCTAAAACCTTTTCATATAACATGGACAAAAATGGTAGAACACTTACTGCTGGTCTATAATTATTTTTTAATAAAGGATCATTTTTTTAAGAAGTGGAGTTACTTGTGCCTCGTATAGTCATCTTGAAATACACCAGAGTCGATAAGATCTGTCAGTTGTGGCGAAAAAACAGATTTACTACGTTTACAATTTTGACTGGAATTCCGTCACAGTCAGTAGCCTTTTTAAATTTTATTTTATTTATATAATCTTTTCCAATTTCCTCAGCTATAGTTGAAAAAAGTTTTAAACTGTTCTGTAACTTTTTTTGTATCCGTCACAATTTTGTTGTTTTCACTCAAGACTATTAAGTTATTTTGTTGGCCTGAGTGACATTTTTTGACAGATAAAAAGGTTTTATATATAAAAAAGAAGATGTGGTCTGATTGCCAATAAGACAACTCTTCACAGGAGACCAAACGACACAGAAATAAACAACTATAAGTCACCGTACGGCCTCCAACAATGACCAAAGCCCATGCCGTATAGTCAGCTATAAAAGGCCCCGAAGTGACAAATGTAAAACAATTCAAACGAGAGAAATCACGGCATAATTTATGTACAAAAAAATGAACGAAAAACAATTATGTAACACAGCAACAAACGACACCCACTAAATTACAGGCTCCTGACTTGGGACAGGCACAAAAATACAGAATGATATCAACCCTCTCCCTAACCTGGGACAGTGGTGTAACAGTATAACATTAAAATGAACTATAAAAATCAGTTGAAAAAGGCTTAACTCATCAGATGGATACAAATAAACGTACATCTAACAAAAACACAAAGTGGACGTGGCCAGGTACTTGTACATCCCAACAACAAAAAGACACTAAGTACAGATCTGAGAGTACTAGCAGTTACTGACATGCCAGCTTTAGACCTCAATTAAACTGATTAAAAGATTATGTCTTCATCATATTAAAATAAATACAATCCCTCCCGTTCGGGGTTTAGTATCATACCATCATAAAACATACGAGAAGAACATGTATCATGCCAACAACTGGCATCGATATCTGGTACATTTATGAAATTCTTTTCATAATTCGTTTGAATTTCATTTATTTCATGTGGAATTTTTTTGTCAAATGTTTTAGATATTATGACTTTTAGTAAGTCACCGTTAAAATATTCAATATCAAAATTTCTGTTACTTCGGTATAATGTTTTTTTTTTCTTTTTTCATGTCCAGTCAAAGCGATTTAACCTTTTCTGATAAAAAAAAACCGTACATCGCCTCAATTGAAATATTGAATAGCATCTGTTTTATCCCTTATACAATATCATGCATATATATATATATATATATATATATATAATTATTTCCAGCATTTTCCTGAATCTTCATAGTACAGATACTTTATTCCCCACAGGTCTTGGGCAAAATGATTATTATACTGTTAATTCCTGTTATTATCAATACGACAGAAAATTCATTTCCATAATCATCCTGCCGCCTCCCTTTTATGAATACATTGGTTGCCACTTAGCATAAAGAAATATTTAATGTTTGGATCGCTCACTTATTCATGAAGAAATATGAGAAGTAAATCCTATTACCAGTCGTAATCATAAAAAACGCAAAAAAAGAATTTGTTTTCCAAGGAATATTCTGAAATATATATATAACTGATTATGAATTCGGAAAGACTGTCGAACTTCTCGTATGTAATCCTCTTGACAATTTGATTGGAGGGGGAACAGTTAAAAAAGTGTTTCAAAATAGGATATAACTCCACCATCTGAGAAGCTAAGACATTTTTTGTATATATTTAAGACGTTTACCTATAATATTAATGACAGAAATAGACTTAAGATTGTTGAAAACATTGTCAAATGTCCATTCAATGTTCGCTCAAAAATTCGTTGGGAACAACTTGCTACGAGAAAATACTTTGAATTATATTACCATGTTTAAAACAGATAGACATTGCAGAAAATCAACAAACGTAAAATTTGAGATAGGGAGAAAAAAACAAATCTGTAATAAAGTATATAAAAATGTCTCTAACAAACATTAAAACATGTGAATTTATTCATTGCTGTACATGTCTGTTTTTCAAAGACATTTCTGTTTCAAAACTTCATTACTCAAAAATATTTCAGGGTAAAAAATTGTAAACTGGAAGAGAGGTGTTTTGGTATAAAGATGAGTCAAGAAAGTGTCAGAAAATTAAATGTTAATTTAGATATTGCAATAAATTCACAAACATTGTTATTTTCATTAGCTTCTGGAGTAGAATGTTGATACAGGGGGGTCTTCGTTTAATTGTAACACTTACCTAAACAACGCACAATATATGATACCCATCCAAGGTATTGGTAGCTAAATCTGAAAATTGTATCCAAGAAACCAAGGAAAATCACTCGTATACTTAAGGCAAGGATGTTTTCCCAGTTTATATTCTACAAAATAGAATTGTAATCTTCCTGATGCATTTTGTCATTAATTATTCATAGTCGTTATGAAGCAATTGTGTAAAATGAGTTTTGCACATCAATAAGAGATTCCTTCCGGTTTGTACTCTCTTATAGAAACGTTAGTTTTTCTGGTGCAGTCTACTGAGTTATCTCCCAATAATAAGTAAAATAAGGGAGATAATAACAATTATTAATTGTATTTGTTCTGTTCATCCATGTTCTCATTAAATTGTAAGAAATCAAAGGCGTCGTCACTTTGCTCATGGAACCAATAAACATAAACTTGAACTTAACGTCAAAATATTAAACTCAATACTGATATAAGCTGAAACCTGATATCAAACATAAAAGTCTAGTTCAATCATCCACTTAAAACAGATTGAATCAAATAACTATGACTGTCTCATATTACATATATTACGGTCTTACCCTCAATGTAGCCATTTCTAACAAAATACAGTCACGAATTTTCTCTGGTCTATAAATAAACCTTACCACTGCAAACGTGACAATTTTTTAAACGAACAAAGGACTTTACAAATATAGCTGATGTTTAAAACTAAATAATGTGTATACTAGTATGTAAGAGAATGATGATATTCATGATTAATATCTGCTCCCATTTTGAATTATGCCACAGAAACTGGTCAGTTAATTTTAGATACTGATGCAAGAGGACATGCAATTGGTGCAGTATTTTTTCTCACAAATTCAAGATGATAAAGAAAAAAGTAAAATAACAAAAATACCGAACTCCGAAGAAAACTTACGGTTATTAATAGACGAGAGTAAATTCCACTTTATAATAGAAAATTCAGACTTTATTTTGTTACAAATTTCTACATTGAGGGTAAATCGCTATATATGTAACCGGAGGCAGACATTGTAAAAAGTAAAAAAACAAAAATACCGAACTCCGCTGAAAATTCAAAACGGAAAGTCATTAATCAAATGGCAAAATCAAAAGCTCAAACACATCAAACGAATGAATAACAACTGTCATATTCCTAACTTGGTACAGGCATTTTCTTATGTAGAAAATAGTGGACTAAACCTGGTTTTATAGCTAGCTAAACCGCTCACTTGTATGACAGGTCACATCATTAGATTCCAATGGTGAAAGGTTAATTCAGATATTTCTGCAACTTTCAATAAATGGTAGTTTCTTCCTTGCGGTGTTATCTTCAAGGAGGGTTTGTGTTTTTTCCCTTCAAAATGTGATGGAAGTACAGTCGACAATCTTCGTGTTTCCGCTAGCTGTTACTGTTTCGGTGTTTAACCCATGACAAGGCTTTCGACGTTTGGTGAGATAACTCTATAAGGAAAGATAGTTCGCTCTTTCAGTGTCGGTTCCAAATATATTATGTTATGCTGAAGATAATTTTGATGGCATAATTGTTTAAAAATGTTTATAAAATAGACGAATAATAAAACAAATTACTATATACATGTAGTGTCTGATAAATCAAAAGTTCAAAATAAGTAGTGACCATGCTTCTTTAGAAGGCTTGAATTTTTTATAAATCCAGAGGGGATGGTGGCCAGTTGGATATCTGTTTTAGAACCTTATAATTTTGTTATTGAACACAGAAAAGGCAGTCAACACACAAATGCTGATGTCCAATCTAGAAAGCCATGTCGGCTTTGTAAAAGGGATGATATTCCAGGTTGTATTAAAAAAACGATTTCCGTTAAAGTAAACACTTTCACTGCTGTTTACTTTAACGGCTGGAAATGAACATGATTTTGATGAAACAATCCCATTAATGGAGGACTATACAGAACAAAATGAAACTATATCGCACATTGAGGACTTTGAGGTCCCTGATGAAATAAATGAAAGGCTAGATTTTTCTAAATGGTTAGGAATATGGACTCATAAAAATAAAAACATGACAAGAAAATGATTCGGATTAAACTAATATTATTGAATTCGAAACTCGGTCTGATGAAAAACCCAGTCGCGAAGAAGTGTCTGGCTCCTCTCATGAAGTTAGGAAATTATGACGCGATTGGAAAGTACTAGAAATAGTAGATAGAACCTAATATAAACAATATGAAAAATCTGTTGAAACTAATTTGGTTTCAGTAGTTCCCGAAGAGTTAAGAACTAAAACTATGAGGGAACTTTATAACAATAGAATTTCAGTTCATTAAGGTAGAGACAGAACGTTGAGCGAAGGTTCTATTGGGTTGGTATCTCTTCAGATAGGTTCTTGGGTGAAGGATTGTTCTGTTTGTGTCCGAGCAAAGCGAGGTCCTGGATCAGGTCGTTACTCTATTCTGCAATCTCAATTTTGATTTCCTCTCTATCGGATATGCATTGATATTGGTGCTCCTAGAATTGAACATGGGAATGAAACTGTATGGGGTAAAATATAGGATTTACCGGTATAAACGAAATAGGGTTACTCTTTTATAATTTTGCAAAGAATAATTTCTAAGATAACTTTATGACATGATTTATTGATGAATTATATCATTTGACTGTATTGTGTCAATATACTTTGTTATTGGTCGTCCCACTGTCTGTATCACTCTGCTCAGCTCTTAATAAAATTGAATATCACTGCTTTGTGTGGTCAAATACGTTGACCAGGCCTTAATAACTTTGACCCGGACATGTCAACGACGTCATAATGAATAAACCGACGTTGATAAGATTAACCCAAAATTATCAAGGCATCTTCAGGTTTGCCTGTGAAACAAAGAAAACACTTGTTTCTATCATGCATAACAAACAAATACAACTTAATCAATCGATTTCCTCGTTTTCTGCATATTTATGTTATATAATATCAATATGCAGACAACCTGATAATCGGTACATATACGTTTTGATTATGATTAAATATGAAAACTTTATCTTCTCACTGATATAAGTAGCAGAGACTCAGGTCCTAATGGAAGAACCCGGAAGTAGTTATTATTGTATGTGGTTTTTAGCAGTTGGATAATTCATGGTTTTCCGGGTTTGAATTTGGTTTATTGTATTGAAATGCTGTGTTTGTCTAGTACATAGAATATGAGCATTACTAAGGCGTCGTCACTTTGCTCATGGAAGCAATAAACATAAACTTAACGTCAAAATTTAAAACTCAATACTGATTTAAGCTGAAACCTGGTATCAAACATAAAAACATAGTTTACTCATCCACTTAAAAATAGATTGACACAAATTGCTATGACTGCCTCCTGTTACATATATTACGGTCTTACCCTCAATGTAGCCATTGCTAACAAAATTAGGTCTGAATTTTCGATTTTGAAGTGGAATTTACTCTGGTCTATAATTAACCTTTACCAATGAATTACGATCATGTATACGTGACAATTTTTTAAACGAACAAAGGACTTTACAAATATAGCACTGCTACGTTTAAAACTTAATAATGTATTTTTGAAAAAAGATTGATAATCTTTATGACTTTGACAGATTTCTACTAATTAACTGTGCAATAATACCAGGCTGCTTAATTAACATAATTATCTAAAATTAGCATGCTTTTATATAAATTGAATAAACATAATAGCAACAAAACACATTTCTCGACTAATTTGTATCAAAAAAGGAAAAATAAGAAGGAAAAACATAGAAAGCTCGAATCCAGGTAAGTAATTTTCACTGCCATACGCGAGAATTACTATTTCATACTGATCACGCAACAAACATGTCTGCCATAGGCAATTCTTGTTTCTGATTGGTCGATACAGGTTACAAGGTGAGCGACACAGGCTCGGCTGAGCCTCTAAATTGATGGCATTCTCACTGAATTATTTATTCAAATGCATCAGTTCTCTACATACATGTAATTGCTTTGTTAAAGTGTATAGCTGTGTGGATTATTGTCGAGTTATTGCTCTTAGTACCATTGATGGTAAGAGGAAAGTATGCAAATATATTTTTTTCTGTCAAAAATAAAAAGTAAAAATGTATTCTCGCTTATGTTTACAATAGACCATAAATCTGTAGATCAAATGAATTTCAAATATAAATCGACTTTTATACTGCAAAATATGTTGTTGAGCTCAAAGCTGATACTGGTCTGCATATTTACCTTTATTTGTCCAATGATCGGATGTTTCGATATTTAAATAATATCTTAAAATTCATTTGATTTTATCGATTGTTGTTTTAAAAAGAGATGATGAAACTCGTGAGCCGATTAACTCACCAACATTCAATTGTGTCTGTTGAATTGAAGGAATGGTACGCTTAGAAGTCTTTTGTCAATTTGTTTTTAGTCATGCAAAATAATCAAAAACACGTAATTATCATAGAGCTGCGCCAGTGTATTGTATTGATTGTTACATGTATTGATATGTATTATCTCCCTTACTCCATGTGTCATGTACATGTATGATTATTGATGTGTTATTTCCCTTTATTGTTTCCCGCCTGACATTGATTATTAAATGTGCATTCCTTACGATCACATGAGTTAGTTTTCTCTGCTTATTGGCGTGGCGGCAGCGGTTTAAGAAACCCACAGCTCAAATAACTCAAGATTTTGAACATTATTCCACTCAAGTTAAAGGTGAGCTGGAAAATTGTCATTGATTTTGACTAACACGACAACATTTTCTATTGTTGGACTTAACTGATCTTTACAAAATGGCAGGCACACGTGCTCCAACACAATGGTCACTCTAAAAACAAGAAACAATTACATCGTTTGAAGCATGGAGACAAAACTTGCAATATACCTTGTCCCTTGATCAAAAATTCGCAGCGTTCCTCGTAGATGGATTTACTTGGCTGAAAAAAACCAACACCAATCCTTGCATGGCATTGCTGACGATGGCGAGGAGGTTGCCGAAGCTAACCGACGAACAGCAGCCCAAAAGTGCACACATTTGGACCTTATGCTTGGGCAAATCGCAAATTACTGTCTGATTATTTCAAGAAACACTATAATATAAAATTCAACATCAATTAATTCTATTTGGCAGTCAATTCGTCTACACTACTGATTTCAGTCTACTGGTGGACACTTTCTTGATTTAAATAACATATTTTTGGAACAAAATGAACGTCCTGAGGACTTATTTCAGCGATTGGCTAGTTTTATTGAAGACAATTTGCTTCATGCCGGTGGCAATATTCATCACCATGGAGAAGTCCCTGAAGCCGATGAAGAACTATCGCCTTCTTCGGAAAACCTGATTGTGCTTACTTAGTTAAGACTTATTCATCGTGACTTACCCAACCTATTACAACAGCGATATAGAACTGAATTGCGGTCAAAAACATTAGCTTCTTTGAAACCTGAAATTTCACAGGCTCTTGATAGTTTACTCGACGAAATTTATTCAGCCACTGATGTCAAGCTTTATGAGCGTCAATAAAAGACAAAGATTTTGACAGAAGTACAAAGAAGTCAGGTAGTATAAGTACTGGTCGTCAAATGAAGTGTTGTATTTTATGTAAGCAAGCTGGGCTTTCGTTCCAACATTTTTTTAAGTTCTTGTAAATATTTACCCGATGAAGACAGACACTATATGTCCAGAGTTAGGCAATCTAATTGTACAGAAGTAGGTGATAGTGAGTCTGAGGACAATGTTGATAATGAACAAGTCTCATTTTTAAATGATAATGTAGGTCCTAGTAAGCTTAGAGTTGTATCTGCTTTAAGACGGATGAGCACTAAACAGTCCCCTTACTTTAAGGCATTTTATAAACATTTCCCGTTTGAGCTAACACTAGATACGGATGCTGAGGTAAATATGATAAAGGCTTCTTCCGCGGATTACATCGGCGTTACAATGAA